TGTTGTGGTGGGTGGACCAGCCAGGCAACCCTGGCCCACCACGTGGGTGGCCGCCCGAAACACTCTGTGCTGGACGCCCTGCCCCTGCAGCTGCGCTGTCTGGCTCACCGGCTCTCTGAGCCCCCCGAGGACCTGGACGCCCTCCCGCTGGACCTGCTGCTCTTCCTCAAGTAGGCCCCATCCCCTGGCCCCCGCCCTCCGGCTTCTGCCCCCAGCCCTCAGCCCCCACCCCCTTCCCCCTGCCTCGGACCCCAGGCCACAGCAGAGACGTGGAGGCCAGCCCAGCCGCCTCTCAGGGTGGGGACCGGTGTGATCAATGTGGCCTGTCCCCAGCACCCTCTCTCCACAGCCCAGACGCGTTCTCGGGGCCCCAGGCCTGCACCCACTTCTTCTCCCGCGTCGCGAAGGCCAACGTGGACCTGCTCCCGCGGGGGGCTCCTGAGAGACAGAGGCTGCTGCCCGCGGCTCTGACCTGCTGGGTAGGAGCTGGGGCCAGTGCGGGGTGGAGAGGGCTCGGCAGTTCCAGAGGCGCTGAGGCCGGCATCTGTGCAGGGTGTGCGGGGGTCTCTGCTGAGCGAGGCTGATGTACGGGCTCTGGGAGGCCTGGCTTGCGACCTGCCTGGGTGCTTTGTGGCCGAGTCGGCAGAAGTGGTGCTACCCCGGCTGGTGCGCTGCCTGGGACCCCTGGACCAGGACCAGCAGGAAGCAGCCAGGGCGGCTCTGCAGAGAGGAGGACCCCCCTACGGGTAAGAGAAGGTGTCTGGCACCTCGAAGGCTTGCCTGGCGGTGTGGCGTGAGCAGCCCGTGAGAACAACCACGGCCATGCCTCAAGGCCCAGGGTGGGTCACCCCCGCCACAACCCCTGTCAATGCCCCCAGCCGGGGGGTATGGCCTAGCCTGGCCGTCTCCTCCCTCTCTGTCTGGGGCTGCATTTGGGGGTCCCTGAGCTGTGCCCCGTGTCTGCACAGCCCCCCGTCAACGTGGTCTATCTCCACCCTGGACGATCTGCAGAGCCTGTTGCCTGTGCTGGGCCAGCCCGTCATCCACAGCATCCCGAAGGTGAGACCCCGACCCCCAGCCCGTGGGGAGCCCGGCCACCTGAGGCTCAGCCTGGGCCCTGCTCGTCCTCAGGGCATCCTGGCCGCATGGCGGCAACGCTCCTCTCGGGACCCATCCTGGCAGCAGCCGGAACAGACCGTCCTCCGGCCGAGGTTCCGGCGGGACGTGGAGAGTGAGTGCCGTGCCCTGCGCAGTCTGGCACCAGGCTGGGCAGCATCCTTGGGGGTGGGCATCTGCAGTTTAGGGTCTCACCTACCCCTCCCTGGCTCTGCAGCACGTCCCATTATAACCACAGAGAGTGCACAGAATCCCCGTTTGCCAGTGGGTAAACTGAGGCACGGGGAGGGTCACAAATTGCCCAAGGTCTCTTCTCACGGCAGATGTGGGAGGAAGAAGGGGTCAAACGAACTCCAGCCCCTGACCCCTGTGCCCTGTGCCTTGCAGGGACAACCTGTCCCCCAGAGAAAGAGGTCCACGAGATAGACGAGAGCCTCATCTTCTACAAGAAGCGGGAGCTGGAAGCCTGCGTGGACGCAGCCCTACTGGCCGCCCAGATGGACCGTGTGGACGCCATCCCCTTCACCTACGAGCAGCTGGACGTCCTAAAGCATAAACTGGATGAGGTAGTTCATGACTCAGGTTCCCGCCGGCCTGCTGCGTCCGAGCCGTCCCCAGACCCCTGGGAGTGACGTGGGCCCTCCTGGTCTCTCGGCCTGCAGCTCTACCCACAAGGCTACCCCGAGTCTGTGATCCGGCACCTGGGCCACCTCTTCCTCAAGATGAGCCCTGAGGACATTCGCAAATGGAACGTGACGTCCCTGGAGACCCTGAAGGCTCTGCTCAAAGTCAGCAAGGGGCATGAAATGAGTGCTCAGGTGACCGTCTGGCTCGGGGGCGAGGGGGGATGCGGCATGAGATTGGGCGGGTCTGGGGGCGGGGTGGGGGCGAAGCCTGAGGTTGGGCGGGCCTGGGGTCGGGGGCACAGCCTGAGGTTGTGCTGGTGGTGGAGGGATACGTCTCTGCCCGCCACAAGGCTCCTTAGTGGCCCGTCCCACAGGTGGCCACCCTGATTGACCGCGTTGTGGTGGGAAGGGGCCAGCTAGACAAAGACACCGTAGACACGCTGACTGCCTTCTGCCCCGGGTGCCTGTGCTCCCTCAGCCCCGAGCGGCTGAGCTCCGTGCCCCCCAGCGTCATCGGGTGAGTCCCCAGAGCTCTGCCCAGCAAGGTCGGTCTGTGTGCTGGCGCTCACGGTCCACCCACCCTGTCCCCAGGGCGGTCAGGCCCCAGGACCTGGACACGTGTGGCCCGAGGCAGCTGGACGTCCTCTATCCCAAGGCCCGCCTTGCTTTCCAGAACATGAGCGGGTCCGAATACTTCGTGAAGATCCGGCCCTTCCTGGGTGAGCCAGGGAGTTCCTGGACAGGGTGGGCACCACGACGGGGGGGCCACAGACTCCACTCAGGGGGTGCCAGGCCTTTGCCTTCCTGGGCCGCCTACTGCCAGGGTAACTGGGTGGTCACCGGCCCTCTGCCCCCGGGATGTGTGTGGCCTTAGAGCTTGTGGGCTCTGACCCCAGCTTGGGGCGCCAGCCACTTCCGGAGTCTCCCACGCCCGGGGGTCAGGCGACCAGGCAAACCCAGGCCCTGGAAGCCCTAAGGAAACAGGGAAGCCCTGTAATCCTTTCACACAACTGGGCTTTCTGCAGCCCGTGGTCAAGGGCCTGGGAGTGTGAGATGCGGCCTCAGCTTGGGCGTCTCTCCCTGAGGGCAGGTGGGGCCCCCACGGAGGATGTGAAGGCTCTCAGTCAGCAGAATGTGAGCATGGACTTGGCCACGTTCATGAAGCTGCGGAGGGAAGCGGTGCTGGTAGGGCGAGCGGGAGGAGGGGCGAGTGGAGGAGGGGACAACCGTGGGCGGGAAGGCGTGTAAGGCGGGCCTGCTGGGGGGTGGGGGTGCGGGGCCTTAGGAAGGGCAGGGTCCTGGACTGTGGTGGGGCCTAGGGAAGGGCAGCCATTGAACTGGGGTCAGCCGGCCGGAGACCTTCAAAGTCTGAAGAAGCTGCGGCGGGCATCTGTGGGTGGGGCAGTTTGGACACAGGAGAGCCTGGCAACCCTCTGGGGGCGCTGGGGGAAGGGGACCCTCCTTGATGGCTGCCCGGGGGATCTGGCAGCCGTTGACTGTGGCTGAGGTGCAGAAACTTCTGGGACCCCACGTGGAGGGCCTGAAGGTGGAGGAGCAGCACAGCCCCGTGCGGGACTGGATCCTAAAGCAGCGGCAGGACGACCTGGACACACTGGGGCTGGGGCTACAGGGCGGCATCCCCAACGGCTACCTGATCCTAGACCTCAGTGTGCGAGGTGGGCGGGGCGGGGCGCCAGGGCTGGGGGCAGGGCTGGGGGCAGGGCTGGGGACGTGGAGTTGGGCACTCTGAGTCACCGCTCTCTCCGTAGAGGCCCTCTCGGGGACGCCCTGCCTCCTAGGACCTGGACCTGTACTCACCGTCCTGGCTTTGCTCCTGGCCTCCACCCTGGCCTGAGGACCCTACTCCCTTGCTGGCCCCAGCCCTGCTGGGGATCCCCGCCTGGCCAGGAGCAGGCATGGGTGGTCCCTGTTCCACCCCAGGAGAACTTGCGCTCAGTAAACGCGAACATGCCCCCTGCAGACACGCCTTGTGACTTCCAAGGACTTTGTGACCCCACCAGCATGGCTCCTCTCCCTCTGGTCTTGGGCCCTCAGGCCAGGGGGGGGCCCTTGGAGGCCTTCCTGACCCTGCTGCCATTGTGCTAAGGGCCAGGCCAGCACTCAGGGTGGCCCCAGTAGACAGCGGTGGGAGTCCCGTGCCCCCATCCCCACAGGCTGGGCCCCGGCTAGGACATTCCCAGGCCCCCCTGTTCAGACCCTGAGCACGAACACAGGCGGGACCACGACTTTGGACTTTATTCATGACCAGCAACGAAGTCAGTGGTTGCAAACCCCAGACCCAGCCCCAGCCCCAGCCCCAGCCCCAGCCCCAGCCCTCTGCAGGGCCGGGGCAGCGTCTTCTGTGTCCCGCCTGGGCCTGTGGTTGTGCGGGAGGCACCTCCTCAGGGCCTGGTCCTCAGTCCAGCTCGTAGGACCTGGAGGCGGGGATGGGCGGGGCAGCCTACGAGGTGGGGCTTGGGCAGGTTGGCCTGGCCTAGAGCCGGCCCCTCAGTCCAAGTGGGCGTCCAGCTGAATCTAACAGCCCTGTTTTTCCTGCACCTGACCCCTGTGAACCCAGCCACCCCGAGGCAGCACTGTCCACAGAAGCCAGGGTGCAGGTCCCCCAGTGCAGCAGCCATAGGAGGCTAGAGGGCAGGGCCACCGCCAGGGGCAGGTACCCCAGGGGGGCCCACGGGCTGCCTGTAGATGGAACAGGGAGGACACCATCAGTCCCTCAGACACTACCCCCATATCCACCCCCTGGAGCCAGACAGGCCTGGGCAGCCCCTCCCTCTGGCTGGGGAGGGTGGGGACAGCCGGCGAGGACACCCGTCTGCGGCTGCTCTTCTGGGACCCAACAAAGGTCTCAAGGCTTCCCCTGCCCCCACTTTCTGCTGGTCAGTGGGTTTTAGGGGAGACAGCTGCGTCTCTCACTCAGTAGGCAATGAAGGGTGAAGCCAGGGTTGGCCAGTGTCATCCCAGGAGGCAATGGACAAAGCTGGTGGACAGACTGTGGGAGTGGCCACGAGGCGGGGAACAGGTCTGAGAGGGCCCTGGGCAGAGGGGGCCAAGCCGGAGGGGTGTGGGGGCCATACCTGAGGTGGAGGCCTGGGCAGCGTTCCCGGGCAGGCCTGAGGTGTGGACCAGATGAGGCGCTTGGTGGGTGGTGCTGGGGGGCCCGCTGGTGCCGTGGGCTGGGCCGGTGGGGCTGGCGGGGCCGGCGGGGCTGGTGTCAAGGCCCAGCTGGCCCAGGGCGGAGCTGTTGAGGCTGTACAGCCAGGACCTGACGGTGGGGTGGCTTCGGGCCTTCTGCAGGTCTCCCACGTTGTGGCCCAGCAGCGCAGTCACGTTGCTGACATCCAGGCTCTGCGGGGAGGGGCGGGGCAGAGGGGCCATGGGGCCACCTTCCAGGCCAGGGGAAGACCCACAGGAGAGGGCCAGACCCAGGATTGGGCAGTGGCAGGAGTGAGAGGCCCAGAAACGGCCTGGAGTGGGAAAGTGGGGGTATGCTGGCTGTGACCTGTGACCTAGGGGCTCCCCCGCCTGGGCCAGCCCTGCACCCCCACCCTCACGGGGCAGCCCGGCCCCACCTGCAGCACGCGGGGGTTCAGGCTGGTGAAGGTGTCGATGTCCATGGAGATGTTGGCCTGGGCCAGGTGCTGCAGCTCCTCCACCGGTGCACCGCCTGGGGGGACGGGGGTGAGGGGGCGATGGGGAGCTGGGACGGGGGTGAGGGGTTGGGGCTCCACAGGCGGTGGGGGGGGAGCCACCCAGGGGGATGGGGTGAGGTGGCGGGGCTCCACCGGGGGAGCCGCTGGGGGAACAGGGGCGAGGTGGTGGGGCTCCACGGGGCGGGGGGAGCCACCCAGGGGGGACGGGGGGGTGAGGGGGCAGGGCTTCAACGGGGTAGCCGTTGCGGGGACAGAGGTGAGGGCTCAGGGCTCACCGAGGTAGGGGCGCATGAAGTGGTAGTAGGCAGCTGGGGTCCTGCTGCTGCTGCTGAAGGCCTCACGGGCCTTGGCGTAGAGCACATCCTTCCGGCTCTGGGGGCAGGAAGAGACGTCCAGGGCCCCGGCCAGCCTGGGGGAGGCGGGAGGCGGGAGGCTGAGGAGTTGGCCACCAGTCCCCGACCCTTCCAACAGCTGGGCATGGCCCTCCCTTCCTGAGCCACAGCTTTCCTCTCACCCTCTGTCCTGGGGTGAACAGGGTTCCCCCAAATTCACATCCACTCAGAACCTCAGAATGTGACCTTGTTGGGAAATAGGGTCATTGCAGATGGGATCAGGTCAGACTGGATCAGGTGGGCCCTAACTCAATGCCTGGGGTCCTTCTAAGGACAGGGAAAGCTGAGGGCCAGGTACAGTGCTCTCGCCTGTAATCCCAGCACTTTGGGAGGCCTGGGTGGGTGGATCACGAGGTCAGGAGATCGAGACCAGCCTGGCCAACATGGTGAAGCCCTGTCTCTACTAAAAAATACAAAAAAAAAAAAAAAAAATTAGCCGGGTGAGGTGGCGGGCAACTGTAGTCCCAGCTACTCAGGAGGCTGAGGCAGGAGAATGGCGTGAACCCGGGAGGCGGAGCTTGCAGTGAGCCGAGATTGTGCCACTGCACTCCAGCCTGGGCGACAGAGCGAGACTCCATCTCAAAATAAATAAATAAATAAATAAAATAAATAAAGTCACCCAGTTTGTGTCCTTTGCTCAAAGCTAGAGTCCAGGCTGGGCGCGGTGGCTCAAGCCTGTAATCCCAGCACTTTGGGAGGCCTAGACGGGCAGATCACGAGGTCAGGAGATCGAGACCATCCTGACTAACACGGTGAAACCCCGTCTCTACTAAAAAATACAAAAAACTAGCCGGGCGAGGTGGCGGGCGCCTGTAGTCCCAGCTACTCGGGAGGTTGAGGCAGGAGAATGGCGTGAACCCGGGAGGCGGAGCTTGCAGTGAGCTGAGATCGTGCCACTGCACTCCAGCCTGGGCGACAGAGCGAGACTCCGTCTCAAGAAAAAAAAAAAAAAGCTAGAGTCCAGCCAGGGCAGCCCTACGATTAATGCACCCGATGGCCTGGCTGGACTGCCCTCCTTGCCCTCAGTTTCCCCTCGTGGTCCGCCTGGGCTGAGGCGGGAGCTGCCTCTGAGTGTGGGGGGTTGGCTCACCGGAGCTCCTGGGGATGGATGGTCTGGATCTGCTGAGGACTCATCCAGCATAGGCGGGTGCCCCCGACGGCCAGCAGCAGGGCGCCGGAGACTGTGCCATTGTGCTCCAGAAACTTCTGCAGCACAGCCTGGGGGCAGAGCCAGGGTCGGTGGGGTGGGCTGGGGCTTGGGACCACCCACCTGCCCGCCTGCCCAGGTGCCCTCACCTCTGTCTGGTTCTCCAGGGCTACATCAGAGGCCAGCAGAGCCACAACCGTGTCCCAGGAGGTGATGCTCCACTGGCCGATCTCGGTGCAGGAGTAGAGGTAGACCAACGAGGTGATGAGCCGCAACTGATCCTCCGGGAGGCCTTGTGGGTAGATCTGAGCAGGTGGGCAGGGCCGGGCAGGGTCAGCAGAGGTGCTGCGCCCACCGGGCCTCCCCATCCCCCCCACCCAGCCGTGCACCTGCGCGAGCTTGGCCTTGACCACGCGCTGGCACTCAGCGGGCAGCGGGTGCTGCAGCAGGAGTTCCAGGTTGGTTCTGAGGACGTGGCCATCCAGGCAGGACTCAAGCTGTGCACAGTCGTAGCGCACCAGCAAGAGATTGTCCCGCAGCGTGGCCGCCGTGATGTTGCCTCGGACACAGGATCTCCCTGGGGGTGTGTGCGGCCCGGGCTGGTAACCGGGGCCTGGGCCAACCACCACTGCCGGCTCCAGGGCGCCCCCCCGCTTTTTTTTTTTTTTTTTGAGACAGAGTCTTGCTCTGTTGCCTAGCAGCAGGGCATCAAAGGCTGGAGAGTAGTGGCATTGATCTCGGCTCACTGCAACCTCTGCCTCCCGGGTTCAAGCGATTTTCCTGCCTCAGCCTCCTGTGTAGCTGGGATTACAGGTGTGCGCCACCACGCCGGCTAATTTTTGTATTTCCAGTAGAGATGGGGTTTCGCCGTGTTGGCTGGGCTGGTCTTGAACTCCTGACCTTAAGTGAATCCTCCTGCCTTGGCCTCCCATGGTGCTGGGATTACAGGCCTGAGCCACTGTGCCCGGATTTTTTTTTTTTTTTTTTTTTAGGTGGAGTCTCACTCTGTCGCCCAGGCTGAGTGCAGTGGCATGATCTCTGCTCACTGCAACCTCCACCTCCCGGGTTCAAGCAATTCTCCCTCCTCAGCCTCCCAAGTCGCTGGGATTATAGGCATGCACCACCACGCCTGGCTAATTTTTGTGTTTTTATTAGAGACGGGGTTTCCTCATGTTGGCCAGGCTGGTCTCGAACTCTGGACCTCAAGTGATTTGCCTGCCTCGGCCTCTGAAAGTGCTGGGATTACAGGTGTGAGCCGCCGCGCCTGGCCCAGGCCCCCTCCCTGACCCCTTCCCCTCCACTTCTGACCTTGGTCAGACCTTGGCTTTCCCAGAGTTCTTTTTTTTTTTTTTTTGAGACGGAGTCTCGTTGTGTCTCCCAGGCTGGAGTGCAGTGGCGTGATCTCGGCTCACTGCAAGCTCCGCCTCCCGGGTTCACGCCATTCTCCCGCCTCAGCCTCCCAAGTAGCTGAGACTACAGGCGCCCGCCACCACGCCCGGCTAGTTTTTCTTTTTGTATTTTTAGTAGAGACGGGGTTTCACCATGTTAGCCAGGATAGTCTCGATCTCCTGACCTTGTGATCCACCCGCCTCGCCTCCCAAAGTGCGGATACGCTGACCCCGCCCCTCCAGAGTTTTTTTTTTTTTTTTTTTTTTTTTTTTTTTTTTTTCTCTCTGTCCCACTTGCTGGATTCACTCCTCGCTCCCTTCCGTTCGCATTCTCCTCACCCCGCTGGACCAGGCCCCCCTCGCCGCTATTTTTGTATTTTAGTAGACGGGTTCACCATGTAGCCAGATGGTCTCGATCCTGACCTTGTGATCCCCCCATCTTGGCCTCCCAAAGTGCTGGGATTACGGGCTTGAGCCACCGCGCCCGGCCGGCCTCCCAGAGTTCTAACCAAGAACTTGGCCAAACGACTTCTCTGAAGTCAGCCAGGCCCGAGGGAGGAGCCGGACTGGGGAGGTGCAGCGTCCCAGGCCACAGTGGCCATACTGACCTGTGCTGAGCCTGGGCCTGGAGGACACCAGTTTGGTCTTGGACTCCAGGAAGCTGGTGACGAAGCGTCTGGCCTCGTGCTGGCTGAGCCTCCCTGCCCGGCATGCCGCCACCATGCTACTGAAGAAGCCCAGGCCCACGGCCTGGCAGGGCAGGTGTGCGCTGAGGTTGGTGGCCCGGGCAAGGCTCGCTTGTGTCCACCCTGGGGCCCCCTCCTACCTCCTGCACCTGTGCCCACAGGTGAGGGCTGATGTATGTGGCCAGGGAACCCAGGGCCTGCAGCCCCTCCAGTGTCCAGGAGCCAGGGGGCCTGGTACACAGAAAGGGGCGCTGTGTTGGGTCCAGGGCAGGCCCCCCTGGGAGCCCCTGCCCCTCCATGGACACCCAGCAGGCAGGAGAAGCACTCAGTAGGTGCTTGACCACCCAGACCCCTGACTGGCACCCACAGGAGGGACACCCCCCCCACAGCTAGTGGGGCAGCACCCCGACCCTCTGCCCCCTTGGCTGCAGGACCCGGTGAGGTTGAGGCCAGAGGTCAGATGTTAGTGGGCTGTGGACATCAGTGACCAAGAGGGCCAACCCCAGGCTGCCTCCTATCTCATCCCCGCCTCCTCGCCTGGCCCCGTGACCCCACCCACCCGAGCGAGGTCTTCCCACCGGCCAGCAGTGAGTTGAGGGCAATGCGCTGGGCGGTGGTCAGTCGGGGGCAGCGCTGCAGGTTCTCCAGCACATGGGGGTCCGCAGCACCGATGCTGGACGCGTCCATGTCACACACCAGGGCCCCGAGCAGCGGCAGGTTGGAGGCGCTGAGCTGTGGGCGGGCCCCCCCCTGCAGGGCCAGCAGGTCGGCACCCAGCAGGAGGCTGCCTCCAAGGCACCGGGCCCATCCCGCCCAGGTGCCCACCAGGCAGGCCACAGCCGCTCCCCACGCGCCCCAGCCCACCCCGCCCAGCGCCCACCAGGCAGCCCACAGCCACACGCTGCAGGGCGACCCTCTGGTCGGGTAGATGGCTCAGCAGCTCCACGTCCCCCTGGGCGGCGCGGCGGATGAAGGCCCGGCAGTCAACTTCCCGCACCTGGCTCAGGCTGCAGGTGAGTGTGAGGCTGTCAGACTGACGGGGGGCGGGGTCGGAACTCCCAGCAGCCCT